TTGCAATTCGATTGATTGCCTGACTAATTTCTGTCTTGGAAGTAATTTCATTGTTAAAATTAATCAAAAACTCGAGTTAATGTGTTAGGATTTCCTTGTTTTCGTTGGGGATTCTTTTAGTTCTCTATCCCTTTCTGGCACAACTTTCCAGTGGTGTTCTTCTTGAATATTCACTTCTTACTAATTTTAGAGATACTCTATCCGCTTCCACAAAAGGCTACATTTTTATAATCTTCGTTGTCATAACTAGTACATTTCAAATGATTTTTGCAACCTTATGTTATTAGCTCACCCAAATCTACATTTCTTCATTACCAGGGAGCACTGATGAATCTTGGTATGATTCCGCTGCAGTTCTTGAATCCGACTGCAGTGAAGACGATTTCCAAAGCGTTCTTGATGGTACGCTTTCAGCTATTATACTCAATACCCATTTCAACATGCAAATCTTTCATCTCATGAATCTGTCGATAAATTAAATAACCAGATGTGAGTTCTCTTAATGGGTCGGAAGGCGCTTCTAGGGCAAGCATTTCTTCAGTTCATCCAGAAGAAATGAATCCAAGATCAAGATCCGAAGGTCCTAACGAAATCAAACCTGTATACCTCGATGAAATATCTTCTTCTGTTGATGAAACTTCTGGAAGAGAAGATGGTCTGTTGGACTGTGGAGTAATCCCCAGCAACTGTCTCCCTTGTCTTGCTGCAACTGTCCCCTCCATTGAAAAAAGAAGATCTTTAAGCTCAAGCCCACCAAGTGTTCGTAAAAAGTCCACACACAAACTTTCATTTAAATGGAAAGATGGACACCCTAACGCCAATATCTGTATGTATTTTTTATCCAACTTTATGAAAACATAAACAAAAAACATCAAAATGTGACATGTTTTTGAGCTTCTTTCTTATAGTTTCTTCAAAGATACATCTACAAAGACCTAAAGCAGGTTCACAAGTACCCTTTTGTCCATTAGACAAGAAAGTCCTCGATTCATGGTCAAATGTTGAACCCAAGACTTTTAGAGTACGAGGAGATAATTATTTGAGGTAACCATTTTTGCTTTACATAAACATATAATTATTTTTGTATTTATAATTACACAAACGTTATTGAATCTTTACAGAGATAAAAAGAAGGAACACGCTCCTAATTACGCAGCGTATTACCCATTTGGTGTTGATGTATTCTTATCACAAACAAAAATCGATCACATAGCTCGATTTGTAGAGCTCCCTGTTCTAGAATCTTCTTCAGGAGACCTTCCTTCTATTCTCGTCGTGAATGTACAAGTACCATTATACCCTTGTGCTTTTTTCCAAGGAGAAATCGATGGTGAAGGAATGAATGTTGTTTTATACTTTAAACTTTCTGAAACTTACTCAAAGCAACTTTCATCCCAGTTTCAAGATAACATGAGAGTAAGATCTTATAATCATTAATCAACTTTCAATTTTCATCCCATAATATGATTATTATTTATACTATAAATTTAATTTTGAAACAGAGGATTCTAGATGATGAAATTGAAAAAGTGAAAGGGTTTCCTGTTGATACACTTGTGCCATTTCGTGAAAGATTGAAAATATTGGGGCGAGTTGTAAATGTTGATGAACTTCAGTTGAGTGCACCCGAAAGAAAACTTATGCACGCTTATAATGAAAAACCGGTGCTTTCTCGTCCTCAACATGAATTTTACCAAGTGAGTTTTACTGTTTTACTAAAGAATGGAATAAATCATTATGTAAAAAAAAAGTACTTTTTTGTTTTAATAAATTATTGTTGGTGGGAATTTGTGTAGGGAGAAAATTACTTTGAGATAGATTTGGATATGCATAGATTTAGTTATATTTCAAGGAAAGGGTTTGAGGCATTTCAAGATAGATTAAAGAATTGCATTTTGGATGTTGGGCTCACAATCCAGGCATGTTTGTTTGTTTATTTACTTATTTATGAATTAATTTTAAAGGAAAATAGTTGGTGAGAAAATGTGTTTTTAATGGTGAAACAGGGAAACAAAGCAGAGGAATTACCGGAGCAAATTTTATGTTGTGTGAGGTTAAATGGTATTGATAGAATGAGATACCATATGTTGGGGTTAAATCAGGAGTTATGAGAAATAGTGTAAGGTTACGACTAAATACTTGGTGATTGATTTAATTTAATCTTGTTTTTCTTTTTTCGTTTGATTTTAACTTTTATGGTGAGTTGTTGATTTTTTTTAATTAGTTTTAATAAGATCGTCAAATATCTAAATGGTGAAGTCATGTTCAGTTCATACAGTATATATATATATATATATATTTTTTTAAATATATATAATAGTGAATCGAATGTAATTGATTTGTTAAAATAAGAATAAAAGGGTAGTTAGGAAACTATCATTTCAAAAAGTGGTCCACCAATAATGGACTTCCATGTTATTTTATTTTTTATTTTTTATTTTTTTTTTTGACAAAATTTGTAGACCATGACATTAGTACACATGAACATATAATAGAGACCACTTGAACCTTTGCAGTCAATATCAATATCAATTTTATATATTAAATGTGATGTTATGTTATTAAATGAAAATTTGGTGTGAACTTTTATGTGTGCAATTTTGGTTCTTTAAGTTTAAGTTTATAAGTTTTTTAGTTTATTTTAAATGGTTTAAATTTGAGTTTATAGAGTTCTAGTTAATTTAATTGTGTGGTTATATTTTAAATCTAACAATTGTTTCAAATTTATTTACAAGTTTAAATACTTTATAATAATTTAAAGTTTTTGGTAAAAAGCATAAGATAGAGCTATTATAACAAAGATGATGCAATATAAATTAGTTAAGATATTTGTCTCATAGTATAATTTATAAAGTTATTGTCACGAAAACACTTAAAGATAAATTTCTATAAAATCAAAAATGTAAATGATGTTTTTGTAAGAGTAAATAGCTTACAAAAAAAAAAAAAAAGAATATATTTTTTTATTATAAAATAATGTAATAGATAAAAAAAAATTATAGACTCTTTATACCATTTTGCACTACTACGTATTTTTCTTGATAGCAGAATGCTTAAATTCTCTTTTGTGCGATCATTTTTTTTTTCATATTTAGTCAAACAATAAACACAAAAATAATATTAATATATGACCAGCTATCGGGCTCATTATTTTCTTGCAAGTTGTAAAGGCAAATCTTTATGTGAATATAACACTTCGTTTTCTATATTTTAAAGATGGTTTGCAAGGCCACATATACAAATGTGGGACATAGTTTATTAAAAAAAATTATATCTTTTTATTTATTACTTTGATAATATAATATTATGTAGATATATTCTTATATTTTATTTGTAATATTAATTTAATACTATTCAAATATATTTATATGTTAACTAAAAATGAATTTACTTAGAACCCATTTAATAGAAATACAATAATTTAAATTTAACATGCCATAGACCATAGACATTAGTAATAAATAAAAACATAAAACATAAATACATCTACTTTTAAAACCTAGTCATGATAATAACAAAAAGATAAATAAATAAGCCCAACCTACGTTGATGTACAAGTAATCAATAAAACGATCAATAAATACGAAAACACAATTGCATCATTGTTCTTTTAAGTACATGTTAACATGTTTTTATACAGCTTTTTACGTTCTTGTAATTATATGATTGGTAGATCATTTTCCATCAATTTGATCGTTTAATTTTATTTTTTAATGTTCCTTACTCCCCTCAAATGTTCTTTTAAATTATATATATATATATATATATATATATATATATATATATATATATATATATATATATATATATATATATATATTTTTACAATTTAAAAAACAGTAAACTAGCTTGATTTTTATTTCAGTTAATAACTATTAGTTATTTAAATAATAGTAATGACATTTATTAAATAACTAGTTGTGAGATATGTGTATTATAGGACTTTATTAAAAAAAAAAAAAAAAAAAACTAATTATAAATGAATATTAAGAAAAATATAAAAAAAATATTGAATTATTAAAATCGAAATACTTATTTCTCTTTTAAATTTAAAAGTTGCATTAATAAAATTTATATATATTTATTATTACACTATTATAATTATTATATTTAAATACTACATAAATTTAATAAAATAAAAAAAAAATCAAAATAGTTTGTAGCAATTTTTTTTTATTATTATTAGAGTAGATATTTAGTTATACATAATAAAGATATTTGTAAAAGGTATAACATAGTTGATATATTGATTATCATTTTGAAGAGTGTGTCAATATTGCATTGATACTTGTAAGATTTCAAAAGTTGATTTTGCATAATTAAAATATAACTAAGATTACATAATTAGCGTGGATGATTTAAAAGTTGATTTTGGTCAAAACAACGATTGTAGATCTATTCCTCTTAAGGAGATCAACTCTAATAGGAAGTGTGTCTAACGAATCCTCCAAGCCAAAATATTTACTTAGTTAACGCAAATGAATTCCATTTAATCTTCAAATTAATTTGAAATTAAACCATATAAAAAAAAATACCACAAGAACATCAATGTACGAACTAAACTCTCCAAAGTGTCACAAACCCACATTAGCCAAAGCAACCACCTCTTCATGCTCCATCGCAACACCAAACAACTTAACTTTTAGTAAGTTTACCTCCTCACCACAAGGAAAAAGGTCATTACCGGCGACAAAAGTCGCCGGTAAAAGTCTCAAAAATCGCCGGTACTGATAATAGCGGCGACGCGTCGCCGGTAATGAGTCGCCGCTACTGCCTCGTCGCTATTGATCAGTTTGTCGCCGCTATTAGTATGTCGCCACTAATGAGTAGTGTCGCCGCTAATAATGTTGTCGCCGGGAATGACATTTGTCGCCGGTAATGAGCTCTGTCGCCGGTAATTTGTTTTCAATTTTTTTTTAAATAATGATTTTCGTTGCCGGTGATAATATCGCAGGTAAAAGTGTTGTCGGTGATAATATCGCAGGTAAAAGTGTCGCCGGTAATAACAATATTCGATTAAATATCAAAACCAATAGTGTCGACGCTAATTACAAAACAAACATCCTATTAAATATCAAACATAGTGTCAAACAAACATCCTATTACAAACAAACATCCAAAATACAATTAAATATCAAAAGTCATACTATCCGAGTAGCAAAACAACAAAATTTTTACAATCTACTAAGTAGCAAAACGAGACAACATATGCAAATAAAACCCATTCTTACATACCCTCATCGCCATTCCCATCGTTTCCTTGATTATTTTGGGATTGAAAAAACGAATAAAGCTCATCCCTACATGCCGGATCGGCGAGCATTGCACGAAGATTTTCCAACTACATAATTAATAACAATATATATAAACTTATAAGTTAGATCGTCAAACATAAACAAAAACTATCAAAATACATTGTTATTTTTAAACTATCAAGCTAGAGTCGCCGGTAAAACCCCTTGTCGCCGCTAATAGTGTCGCCACTAAAGGGTATATTTCTTTGTAGTGGGCCTATCTAGATGCTAAATAAAAAACATCTAAGAAATCCTTCATTTTGCACAAATAATATTTCCTATTTAATCTTGTAATGTCAAGATACTTTCAAATGTTTTTCAAGTCCTTTCATTTAATTGATCTTTAATAATTGAATACGAACGTTGTTTTATGCAATGTTTCAATGTGGGAAGATCATGAGCTTAATTGTAGAGACAAGAGAACGAGTAGACAAACGACAATGGATAGGGCGAAAGAGAGGACGACACAGCCTAGACGCTTCAAAGGAAAGAATCTTGATCAGAAAAAAAAGACAGTTTCAGTGCGTACTTTTCACAAGTGCCAAGGAATCGGAACCCTATTCCATTCCAGTTTTGGTTCACTCTTCTACAACAAAATTCTTTATTTTTATTTACGATCGTTACATGTCTTTTAAACTCAGGTTACAAAAATAACTAATAAAGAACATAATTATCCAAAAAGAAACAAATCATGAATCATTTGTCAAGTTACAGGTCGATGAACAGTTTAAGTTAATGAGTTCTTACATCTAACAAAACAAATAAAAATGCATGCATCGATCATTAGCAACAAAAAAGAGTTAACATGAGACAACAAGAATGTCTACTTTCATAACATCATCCATATCACTAGCCATGTCAATGCATAGATCCAAAAACCACCTACAAAAAGAAAACATTTATATAAAAAACGTCATATAAATGTAAGAAACCAATGCTAATGAGTAATGAACCTTACCATGAACAAATCTTGAAGAACTATTCCAAGTAGCTTCAAATAAACAATTTGTTGTCGTATTGATTCCACTACGACAATTGCACAAAAACGAACTATAAGGTCCACCATACCCACAAACGCCACCACTTCTCTCACAATCAGCACACATTGTTGGATACTCATTGTTGAAATTAAACTTATACTTTAACGCGACACCATATTTCCAACTGTCGGGATTGTCCGCATGTCCATCAAACCCGTACAAACCCGAGTACGACCCGCAATTTAATTTCCCCAAGTCCATCTCAAACGAAGGGCCAAGATCCACCGGAGCATACACACAACAACTAGACACCGGGGTGGTGAGTCGACTCACTGCTTGACAAGAATTCAAAATCCCACAAACTCGGGTCCCACTCACCGGATCACAAACCGGAGCATTTCGGCCATCGGATTTGAATACTGGTGATGATGAAGTGTCGCAATTGAGGAGGGCGAATACGGTGTTGTCATGAAAGGTGAAAGGGGCGTCCCAATCGAGCCCGAACCCTTTACTTGGTTGAGTGCAACCACAAGTTGACATTGAGGGGTCGGTTATGTAAATAATTTGGTTTGGGTAGTCGATGGTGGTGATCGGGTAGCATCCAGTGTGCGTTATGAATGTCAGATGTTGATTGTTGCAAGTTACTCGGGTTTGGAACCGCGGGTCGCCGCATCCTAAACCAGTTCCAAACGGGTATCTGATAGGTAACGTGCCACATGTCGGTTTGCAAGTTTGGGAGGTGGTGAAGGTTGATGAGATGATTATGATGATGGAAGTTGTGACGAATTTGGTCGCGAAAGAGAACCGAATGTTCGGGTTGTGTGACATTTTATCACCTAAGAATTTGTCGATCGAGATGGGGGATGGGGGAATTGGGTTATATATAAAGAGCAAATGAAATAAACGTTTATAGGATGAATTGTATATTATGCACTAAAGGTGTAGTATATATGTTTTTAGGTTACTTTTGTAGATGCTTTTGTTAAAAAAGTGATGGTAATTTGTAACTCAGCCAGAAAGGTTATGAATAAGATGTAAAACTTAAAAAGAGAAAAACAAATAAATTGCATTTCTATGTGGAGGTGAAATATCTTTGATTAAGTTATAATTTTATATATGAAATTTGTAATAGATATTGGCTCCTTGTGTTTGCATTAGCGATGGTAAAAGAAGAATGTGATTCTTTCCTTTTCGTAGCTTTAGATAAGGTTATAACTTGGAGAATATGATCCACTTATGTGGATTGAAATCAAAGGGAACCTCAAGGTATAGTGCCTCTTTATTTTTTGCTCTATTATTATTTTATTTTGGGGGATATCTTGTTTTTTTACATCAAATGATCATCATATCATAATCTTTAGTTATGTATCATTAAAAGCTTAGAGTACCCTTTTGACAAAAAAGTTTTTTAGTTGCATTCATGATGATTTTGTTGTTATAAATGGGGTTCTTGTTGTGATTTTGTAATGAGAGGTACATATATAAGTCCTCAAATACTCTTTCTAAAATAAAGACCACCAACTCCATACTCCTCAAAAGAAGCAAAAGAAGCACACATTTGGGGTTCCCTCCACTTTATTCCCTTCACAATCATTGTGTTGTAGAGCCATATCCAAATAAACAAAGGGGTTCTTACTTGTAAAAGGCACACGAAGTTAAAGATTAACACCAACAATTAAATTAGGACTTGAAGTCTTGAATAAGTTTTCACATATATGAATCAAGTCTTTGTACATATAGCCCTTTTATATTGGTATGCATGCATTATTTGTTTGTACACTTTAGTATTCTAGACATCGATTATTTGTTTTTTTTTATTGAGGAAATGATATTTTATCTTCGTTTAAATGAAACGAATGGGATTCAAATCACAGCCTTAAAAATTTTCCAATCTTATTCTGAATTCCCATGAGGATTATTTTTGGGTAAATTACACAAATCGTCCCTCGTGCAGGTGCCAAAAAGCGTCTTTAGTTCCTATCTTAAAAAATTAACTCGGACCGTCCCTAATTTTTTTAAAACTTGCACACTTCGTCCCTGATATGTGTTTTTGTTGCAAATGTAGTCCACACCATATTTGAAATGACCATTATGCCCTTGGATATTTATTTTTAATTAATCTAATATTATTTATTAATAAAAAAATAAAATAAAAACAAATCTCTCAAATCTCTATCTCTCTCATATGCCAGAAAATACCACAACCACTGATCTCTCTCTCTCTCTCTCTCTCTCTCTCTCTCTCCTACACTCATCCTCCTCCACAGTTTCACTCTTTTCTCCATTTTCACACGAAGGACAGTGATGGGTATTTCATTCTGGAATCTTGACCTTCTCTTCCGTGATGAACCTCCCGTCGTCTATGTAATATCGTTTCATCACCATCGACGTTTGAACTGGTGACAATAGACAAAGTTCCTTTGTTTATTTCCAGTCACTGATGATCTAGTACTCATCCCCCATCGTTTTCGATTCTCCAATTGATGATCACCGCCTGATGACAGTGTCGCAGTCTTCGTCTCCAAATCAACACAACTCTCCACGACTAGGGTTTTGACATATCCCATCAACGGCGGCTAGGGTTTCGACATATGTGTCGAGCTCCACAATTGCCACCAACGGTGGCTAGGGTTTCGCTCTTTTCCTGCATCATTGCAAATTGGTAGAGATATGGAGATCATCAAGCTCCACAGTTGCAATCGAATCTAGCGTGAAGGTGACGGGTGGATCGATCGCAGATGTATGTTTTCTATCTCCTACCTTTTGCCCATGTATCTCTCAATCAGAGATTCTTATTCACCATTCTTCTTTCTTTTGAGTTACAAGTTTGATCATGTAAAGATCAGCAGATAAAGTAAGATAGGTGATGATCCCGATGGTAGTTTTTGTGGAGATTGGTGGCTGTGATTGGTGATAATGGTGGTTTTCTGTGAAATCGATGGTCGTTTTTGTGAGATTAGAGTTATGGATAAGGCGATAAACAGGGGAATAGCTAGCTATGATAGGTGGTGGTGCCGGAAGAGCTGGTGGTGATAGGTGGTGGTGGGTCCGGAGAATCTTGTTGCAGGAAATGAAAAGGAGAGGGGCGGGGATATTTGTTTTTTTTTTCTATTTAAAACTAATAAATAAACAAAACAAAATAAAAAAAGAAATTATTAAGGGTAAAATAGTCATTTTATGGTAATAGGGACTAAACGTGCAAGTTTTAAACAAACGAGGGACTGTCCGAGTTAATTATTTAAAATAGGGACTAAACATGCTTTTTGACATCTCCACGAGAAACGACTGGTGTAATTTTTGCCCTTTTACAATCTCTTTATTGTTCAATAAGGGTGGAGTAAACAAGGCTAGAGCCCATGAAATCAAAACAAAAAGGATTGTATGTACGCGATGAAGTCCCATATGAGGCCCAACTAAGTCAAAATATTTAAAGAACTGTTCAGAGTTTTGTACCAATTAAAAGATATTTACCAAAGTGTTGTGTTTTAAAACTTATTTACAAAAATATGTAAATTAATGTTTTTCTGTGGTTTTAATATTTTTTTATTTTCTATTTTTACTTACTCTCTTCTAAGTTTATTGTTGTCACCACCATTATTTGATGCCAACTACTTTTTTTTCCTTCTGGCAATCATCTTTCTTCCGTCTAACAATCCCAAACGAAAAAAAAGTCAATATATAAAAACCGAAAATTAAATCTAAAACTGTTATTAAAAGTTAATCCAAAATAATCCAACTTGAAATTGCTAAACCAAATAGAATGGAGTTGTCATTGGTATTATATCAGGTACCAACTAGGAAGGGGTTAGTCGAGATCAAGGGAGCTGGGCATTATTTTATGAGAATAAGAACAAACAACGGGAAAATATTGATTCTCACACATGCCGATTTGACTTCTTAACGCCTGAATCGAATTGTTATTAAGCTCTCTAATGTTTTGTTCATTTTATTCCCACCTTCTTGTAGCGTATACATCATGATTCTCGCACAAACCTTATGAGGCTCCACAAATTTGACATTGATATCATCTAATTGGGATTGTGCCGAATCATATATATGGTGGATAGCTTCATCTTTAGGATGCATAGCCTATTCCATGCTACCTGTAGTTTCTTAACTTCGGGTTTCATATTTTACAAAGCTTAGGAAATCAAGATTTTTGATTAACCCACTCAACTCCCTTACGACCCATTTGCTCATAACTAGACGTATTATTATTATGAACCACACAAAATAACGTGTTTGTGTTGTGTATTGATATTCAAGATAACAATATATTATACAAGATTGTAGATTATATATTTGTATTTGTCGGTTAAAAAAAAAAAAAAGGAGTTGATAAATACAATAACATAAAGCCGTAATTATCTAATATCCCCCGTCCAAGCGAATGGGTGGTGGACCAAGACGAAGCATAGAACGAAATTGTTCGAATTGAGGTCATGGAAGACTCTTGGTGAAAATGTTAGCTACCTGAAGCTTGGTTGGTACAAACTTGGTATAGAGTTTACCAAAGGCAACAAGTTCACGTACAAAGTAATAATCGAGATCAATATGTTTAGAACGTTTGTTTGAGACTGGATTTTGTGTCATAAATGAAGCACTTTTGTTGTCACATACCAAAGTTGGTCTATTAGGTGGTAAAGCATGTAATTCCCGTAAAAGATGAGTGATTCAAACAATCTCGGTTGTCGTGTTAGCCATCGCTCGATATTTTGATTCACAACTAGATCTAGATACAGTTGGTTGCTTCGTAGCACTCCAAGAGACTAAGGTGTTGTTTGATTTTCTAAAGCAAAAATTCATGAAGTCTGCGAACAACTTCTGCAACCCTCTGCAGTAGAAGAGGTGGACCAAACGGCTGCAGACTATAATAAGAAGCGTGTTTGTTTTTTTAACATCTGCATACTGCTGCAGATATTAAAAAATTAAAATAAACTAATTTTATAAACTGAAAATAGCTTTTTAATACGTAAACTTTAATAATGTATAACATTTCGGTAAAAATTAATGATATTTCAATAAAAAAGAATGATATTTCAACAAAAAAAAATAAAGATATTTTAGTAAAAAATAATGATATTTCATCAAGAAATTATCATTATCGGATATAAAAAAAAATGAAAAATAAATTCAAAAAGAATAAACGAAAAAAAACGGAAAAAAAATGTGAAATAAAATTTTAATAACATATAATCAAAATTTCAGCAATAAAAAAAGAAGAAGAAGAGGTTGGAAGAGGTAGTACAAGTGTTGCGCCAAACAGAGCACGCGCAGAGGTTTTTGACTCAGAAGACTTCAAAAAAACAAACAGCTGCGAGATGAAAAGTGTTGCGTGTGTGCTGCGCCGCACAGCAGTAAGAGGTTTGAAGTGGTTTTTTTCCAAAAACAAACAGCACCTAAGTTGCCACCAAGAAAGATTGAATAACCATATGTTGAGCGACGTGTTTCAATACGACGAGCCCAAACAACATCATAATAACCATAAATGGTGTTTGTATGTGGACGATGAAAAGTAAGACCAAATGTAATATTGCCTTTGACATAACGCAAGATGTGTTTGACAGCTTGAAAATGATCATTAGTTGGAGAGTGAAGAAACTGATTGGCTTGATTAACAGCATAAGAGAGATCAACTCGTGTGATGGTCAAATATTGGAGAGCTCCCACTAGAGAATGATAAAGAGTGATATCTTTGAAGAGAGATCTGGTTGACGAGAGGACTTCATGAGTTGCAAGTGGAGTAGACACATGTTTGGAGTCTAAGAGATCACTGCGAGTAAGGATATCCGTTACATATGTGGATTGACTTAAAAAGAGTCCATCATCAATGTAGCTGACTTCTAAACCGAGAAAATAGCTTAGATCACCTAAGTCTTTTATTGCAAATTCTTGATGAAGACGAGTGGTAAAGGCAGTGATAATAAATTCATTGTTGCGAGTAAGAATCAAGTCATTCACATAAACGAGTAAGTACATGATGCATGAATTATGAGCATATATAAACAAAGAAGGATCAGTACGACTACAAAGAAATCCATGTTAAAGAAAAAAGGTACTTAAACGATGAAAACAAGCTCTGGGAGCTTGCTTTAGACCATATAAGGCTTTAGATAATTTGCAAACATGATTGGGGAGTTGAGGATCAACAAAACTAGGTGGTTGCTCCATAA